TGGGCGGTCGGGGGCAGAACGTTGGGGCGTTCAGGAGCAGAACGTTGGGGCGTTCTGGGGCAGAACGCTGGGGCGTTCCCAGGCAGAACACTGGGGCGTTCGGGGGCAGAACGTTGGGGCGTTCCCGGGCAGAACGTTGGGGCGTTCAGGAGCAGAACGTTGGGGCGTTCTGGGGCAGAACGCTGGGGCGTTCCCAGGCAGAACACTGGGGCGTTCGGGGGCAGAACGTTGGGGCGTTCCCGGGCAGAACGTTGGGGCGTTCAGGAGCAGAACGTTGGGGCGTTCTGGGGCAGAACGCTGGGGCGTTCCCAGGCAGAACACTGGGGCGTTCGGGGGCAGAACGTTGGGGCGTTCCCGGGCAGAACGTTGGGGCGTTCCCGGGCAGAACGTTGGGGCGTTCAGGAGCAGAACGTTGGGGCGTTCTGGGGCAGAACGCTGGGGCGTTCCCAGGCAGAACACTGGGGCGTTCGGGGGCAGAACGTTGGGGCGTTCCCGGGCAGAACGTTGGGGCGTTCAGGAGCAGAACGTTGGGGCGTTCTGGGGCAGAACGCTGGGGCGTTCCCAGGCAGAACACTGGGGCGTTCGGGGGCAGAACGTTGGGGCGTTCCCGGGCAGAACGTTGGGGCGTTCAGGAGCAGAACGTTGGGGCGTTCTGGGGCAGAACGCTGGGGCGTTCCCAGGCAGAACACTGGGGCGTTCGGGGGCAGAACGTTGGGGCGTTCCCGGGCAGAACGTTGGGGCGTTCCCGGGCAGAACGTTGGGGCGTTCAGGAGCAGAACGTTGGGGCGTTCTGGGGCAGAACGCTGGGGCGTTCCCAGGCAGAACACTGGGGCGTTCGGGGGCAGAACGTTGGGGCGTTCCCGGGCAGAACGTTGGGCCGTTCCGGGGCAGAACTCCTTCAGAGTCTCCCGTGTTAAAAGTCTTTCGACGAGCAAGGCCCGTCCTTGCCGGCCGGGGGAGCTTTACACCCGACCCCTGGACACCGCAGGGCACGCCTCGAGGGCTGGCAGCCCGACTGCCAGACCCCCAAGCCCTGCGTGGCGGGCGAGGGCCAGGCCGCGCCCTCTCCTCACCCGGGGCAAGAGCTGGGGCCGGCTCGGCTGGATGGGGACCACGGGCCAGCCCCAGCACCGACCCCTCCTCATCGGCGACGCGTGCTCGGGTACAAATACCCTTCAGCTTGCAGATGACTGTATGTCCCG